ACACGTTTACTAAGAAAGTGGTCCCAGCTCAATTTCTACCAGGTGAGTTAAAGTCAATACAACGCATAATATGCGTGCGCGCACTCACATACACACACACAAATGCGCATGCATGCGCGTACGCACGCACACAATAATAAAACGGAAAAGAACAATATTTAACCATGATGACAAGAATTCACAATTTATTGCTAGCCAGGCGCAGGCGAAAACACGACACAGAAGCGCTAGTGAAAAAACCTAGCATCTAGTCGAGTGTGGCAGGTTACAAATCTTCCCGTTGTTGTGGTGACAAGGAGAGAAATCATTAGCGCGTAGATTTCTTATAGATTACCATCTACAGTCAAGTGTCTGTAAACTCTCTGGGTACGTTTCCATCTACATTTTTCTGCTGTCTTTGGTTTTTTTCCCTTCGTCTCAGTGAACTCTTTTTAAACATCCATGTTTCTTTCTTTCAGCCCCCCCCCCCCCACCCTCTCTCTCTTTATATATATATATATATATATATATATATATATATATATATATATATATATACATATATATCTATATGTGTGTGTGTGTGTGTATGTGTTGTTGTTGTTGTTCGTCCATGCGAACGTCTTTTCATCCCACGTATTAGGCCTTTTTAAGATTTTGGACGTAAATTTGCTAAAAGACCACAACAGCCAGATAGTGCTGGGGTTGGTTCTACAACGTCCTGTAAAGGATAAGTAACTAATTTTTTGATACGTGGGGAAAGTGGATACTGTAGAAGGATCTAGCAGTGTCGTGTCAGTAATGTTTCTTCATCGCGAAAAATACTCAAAATTTTAAAACTGTAAATGGTGGTCCGAAGGACGTTGTGTGGAAAAGCGCGCCCCCCTACGAAATACGCCTGGCCAAATCAAAGGGAAACAACACAAAGTGGAAACACTAAGTAAGACGAGGGAAGACATAACAAGGAACAGGGTGGAGGACGAGCGGTCTGTTTCGGATGGAAGCATCAAGCCCAGAAATGGAGCAATCAGTCACGAAAGCGACGCAAAAAACTCAGACCACAAATATAGGCGTAGACTGTTAGCAGCCTCGGCTAGCTAGCAGCAGTAAGAAACAAGGAGCTTTTCATTTTTTTTTTTTTTTCTTAGACAATTCGCGCACCAGAAGATGGTACTAGACAAATTATTTGGCACTTGATGGGTGGTATGGTCAACATCACGACGGCCGCTTTTACTTTCAGGGTATTTCTTGGTAATCATTTTAGTCTGCGCCAACCTGGGAGCACAGGTCATTAATAAATCTTCATTCTGACGTGTTTGAACCCAAAATCTTCGGTATAGTATAGCCACTACACTACCATACTCCAACCCCCCCTCCCCCCATTCCCTCCACCCACCCACAACCACCTTCGATATACTTGAAATTCTGTTTAATCTCTGAATTGCAGAACCGTTTCTAAATTATACTGACAGACAACGAATGAATTGGTTCGACGAATGAACCGGTTCGGTCATCTAGTAAGAATACAGCCAGATCAAACTTCATAATCGGATTATTTCTTTTACAGCAAGACATCTAGGAGGTAGGCGAGGCGAAGACCAAGAAAGACAGGAATAGATGGTATAGGTAAAATCTGCAAAAAGATGAACAAATCTACCACCCAAGCAGCCCTGAACGGGCAAGATTAATACAGAATACCACGACACTGCGCTACAACCTAGTGTCAGTTTAACTGCAAAGGAAGAAGAAGAGGATTGCAGGGGCGTCCCTGAGTTATTTTGTCCCAGCTGTAGTGCTGCTGAGAGATATTCAGCTTCATTGTTGATTTTGATTAACAGATGGTAGGCTGTTTCTTCTTCTTCTTCACGTTCAACAGCTTTAAACTCTGGAATGTTCTGGCTTTCGTCCACTTCTGGATTTGAATCTTGTTCTAGAATTCGAGTTTTTCCTGCATTTTTTTAAAACACAGATCTGGCTTATGTGTATGCAGACTGTTGATTCTTTACTTCTCAGGTAGACTTCGACTTCGAAGGAAACCCCTAACAATCGACTCCTACAAAATGTTTGTTAGGGATTAAGTGGGTCTACACGGGAAGGCAGGCTGTTTTATCTGTGGACGCATAGTTTTGTGCTACCATACTGTACCCCACTCCCCCCGTGCCCAATCTTATACAGAAACACAGGCACGAGCGTGCGGAAACACACACACACACACACACACGCGCGCGCGCGCGCACAGATCTTCGCAAAATCTGACACAGGTTTGTATTCATCTATTTATATTAGATTTACTTGTTCTGACTTTTCCCATTCAAATTTTCAAAGTGTATTCAGCCAGAAAATGTAATATTACACTGATCAGTTTGACATTAATGACATTAACTTTGATAATCTTGATAATAATAGCAATTATCGTATTTTTGTTGATTGATGATATGGGATTTGAAAACAAATTATACAACAGAGAATCAATTGTTATACTAATCGTAGTTCTCTAGAACAAATGCAGCAATGAAGCATTAAATCAAGTATTTATATTATTTACAGCATGTCTGATAGTGATCCCTCGTTTGAGATATCAAATGTCAAAACAGTGTATACATTTTAGAAATGAATATACACATTTAAGCAATGTATCTACACATACTGATAAATAGAAGTGAATCATGGACAGTTGGGAGATCAGGTAAAAGTTATCTTGAAACGGTGCAGATGTGGTTTATATAATAATGATTAGAATATCATGGAGAGATAACAATGGTAATGAAGATGTCTTGAAAGAAACTGACTCAAGAAGAGAACTGATTGCTCACATCGGAAGGAGACGATCTACATTCTTTGGTCATGTCATGAGAAGGAGAAAACTGGAGTACATCATGACGGTCGGAAAGTTGGAGGGAAGGAGAGGCAGATGGAGACCGAGAGAAGAAATGAAGCTGGGCAGTTTGATCTCATTGCATGAAAGATTATCTGTGTCACAAAAACTGTTTGAAAGTACACGAGATAGAAGGTTGTAAACATAGATCACTACCAACGCCACACGGCATAGACTTTAAAATACCTACATGCACCTATAAGTGAGCAGTCATAGTGCAGCGGCTAGTCACTTGATTACCGGTGCCGGTGTATAGAGATCCCATCTAGGCAGATTTCTTGTCAGAATTGACTCAAGCTCCCAGGTCATCCGGCCTAAAACAGATACATTCCTGGTAGAAAGGGAGGGAGACGACAGAACAGACCCACTGCCTTCCTAACAAGTATGTTGTAAAAGTCGCCTAATGAAAGATGTGTCCTTCGAAATCAGAATGCAGCTGCCTGAAAGGCGTACATACAAACAAGCTGATCTGGCAAACAGAATTGCATACAAAGCTCAGGTTCTAGAAAAATACGTGGATTAACAACCAACACTTTCTGCTGGAGTTTACAGCCGATGAACGCGAAGAGGAAGAAGAAGAAGACTGTCGACAAATAGTGGTCGCTTAGTTATTCTTTTGTAGTACATGTCTGCGATCTGTGCACAAATTAAGAAAATAGGGTATTACATACCAATACAACACCAGAGCAGCAATGCAGAATAAACAACTTAAAATGATCAAACTAAGATGTATACAACATATGACATGTACACAGTCTCGAACTTCCTCCAAACGTTTTTTGTTTCATTTTGTGTGTGTGACCTCTCTTTCCCTCTCACACACACATTCATGCATATACACACGCACACACACACAAACACATACACATACACACTTAGTCATACACACATTTAGTATTTTGTTATAAATGTGGACACATACATTGAACATGTGTGTTTCACATTCAATAATGCCTCCTTTAAAATTTATCTCTACTTGTAAAGGAAGATAAAACAAAACATCTTAAAAGCCAACACATTACACACACACAAAATAACACACACACACACACACACACACACACACACTCACACACACACACACACACACACACCCAAAGTAATGTCAGTATTTACAAATATGAAGTTGTGAAACTCAGACATGTTCCTTGATCTTACGTGACATTACCACGTGATAAACACGAAATATTTAAAACTAAATGCTGTACAATCCAGGGCGATACCTGTGCTGAAAATTGTGGTGACCGGGTCGTCCATTGGCTGGCCAGTGGACGACTTCGTCGTTGGTCAAACAGTATTTGGGTCTGTCTCGTTTGATCGTATCAACAACACTGCAAGATACTTTTCAGGGCTACTTGGCGGCGAGCAATACTAAGTCATTTTATATGGCGCACATAACCTAAGTCACAATTATAACTAAAGGCCCCCCCCCCCTCCTTTTTTTCTAGGGATGCTGGTTTAACGTGACGATTTTTTGTTTTTACGGAGAGACGGGTGCTGAAGAAAATGAAACACATTTGTTTGTTTTCTAAGCCCATTTCTTCAAGAGGAAGTGAGAGATACTGGTCTTCCAACATTTTCTGTTAGTCTGCCGCAAAAGTCCGCCAGGCATGCAGAGACTAAATGAAGGATTGTCACTGTCGCGTCTATCATATTTTCTAGCCGTTAAGAAACAGCATATTTTAGATTTAGTTTAAAAAAATGCCATCTTCATTTTCCGGTTGTCTTAGACTTCAGCCGATTCGGGAAATATTTATATTTTCCTGATCCGCAGGTATTTAAAAAAAAAACTGTAGGAACACTGCTCTAAGCCACTAGTGAACAACTGGGTGCTTTATTAATATCCTACCTCAGATGACGTCACAGGACTTTCCAAGATTTTAGAGGGTGGTAAGACTGGGTTTCCAGCTTTCTGATGATTTTAACGACCCCAAAACATTTAGAACTGGCCCTAACCCTAACTCACCTACGTCCTACGACAGATTTCAGCCTAAGTTCTCCAACTGCATGCAGCCTATCTACCACCCACTGAAATATTAGACTGGTCCGTGACCTGTGGATTTTCCCGGTTTGGGGTAAGATAATAATAAAGCACCAACATCTGACACGCAAGCATCGTATACAAAAGTGAACCTATCTTAGTGTTCTATACTCCAATGCGATGAGGATGCTGGGCGAATAAAACACCCTGGTACATAATGCCATTGATCTCCATGCTGACTACCAGCGAAGTATCAATTTCCGATCTCCCATCATCTGAAAAAGTCACAGAAAGGTCAAGTTAACATTGTTTTAGCTCTTATTTTTGTTATTTTTGTGGTAGTAAAGATAAATTTTAAGTTGAGAACATGGACTTCACTGCACCGGGTTTTAACCATCATAGCTAAGTCTCTCATCAGAACGGCTTGCGGCCTGTTGACAGCGTCGCACAGAGTGTGACTTCTGAAGCTCCAGCGACGATTCCCAGATATATCCAGGAAAAAAAGTTGAGCTCGTAAACCGAATGTCTGCCAAACTAACCCATGAACTTCAGAATGCGATGCAAACGTCTTTTCATCACTGAGACTTTTCCACCCCCAGACGATTTCACAATGTTAGAAGATATAGAAAGTTGAAATACAGACTTCTACGAGAGGGAGACAGACAGACAGACAGACAGACAGACAGACAGACAGACAGACAGACAGACAGACAGACAGACAGACAGACAGACAGACAGACAGACAGACAGACAGACAGACAGACAGACAGACAGACAGACAGACAGACAGACAGACAGACAGACAGACAGACAGACAGACAGACAGACAGACAGACAGACAGACAGACAGACAGAGACAAACAGAGAGAGATAGAGAGAGACAGACAGACAAACAGAGAGAGATAGAGATAGAGAGAGATAGAGAGCGAGACAGACAGAGAGAGATAGAGAGACAGACAGACAGAGATAGAGATAGAGAGAGACAGAGAGAGATAGAGAGAGATAGAGAGAGACAGACAAAGAGAGATAGAGAGAGGGAGAGAGAGACAGTCAGAGAGAGATAGAGAGAGACAGAGAGAGTAGAGAGAGACAGACAGACAGAGAGACAGAGATAGATAGAGACAGACAGTCAGAGATAGAGAGAGAGAGAGATAAAGATAAAGAGAGACAGACAGAGGGAGATAGAGATAGAGAAGACAGAAAGACAGAGAGAGAGAGATAGAAAGACAGACAGAGAGATAGAGATAGACATAGAGAGAGAGAGAGAAAGACAAGACATGGAGAGATAGAGATAGAGAGAGACAGAAAGACAGACAGAGAGAGACGGAGATAGATAGAGATAGATAGAGATAGATAGAGACAGACAGACAGATAAAAAGACAGACAGAGAGAGAGATAGAGAGAGAAAGAGCGAGAGAGATGGGGAGAAAGGAGGGTAAGTGTCAACTTTCATGAGTTACTTTGACTGAAGTTAGAAGATTGAAATAGTTTAAATCACAGGCTGTTTGCAAGAACAAATGAAAGAGGGCGGAGGAGAGAGAGAAAGAGAGTATGGGTCTGACAGACAGTAAGTGAGAGAAAGAGGGAGGAAGAGACAGAAAAAGACAGAGAGGGAGACATAGACAGCAAAAGTGCGAGAAGAAAACAGACAGGCGAACAGTGTCCAATATTCCTTGGCTTACTTCGACTTGTAATTTTGAAGTGAGCGCTGTGGAGACTGGAAGGTAAGATCCGGTCGTTGTCTGTTAGCAAACGTTTTCTGGGCGGACCGTCGTCCAGAGAGACTCGATTAGCGTGTTCCATCTTTCTGGTGGCCTCCTCCATGGCTCTTGATGCTGCCTCTACAGCTAGAGCATCTCTTTCTGTCAATCCGCGGTGGTGAGCGGGCAAGGGTGTAGGAGGTAGACTGTCGTCACTCACTGAACAAGAAGAGGTACAAATCATTGAATACTGAGTGCAAAGTCAATTTTTGTGTACAAACATACCAACGACTTCTAAGAGCATGCATCTTTTCCATTGCAACATACGCCTGTGAGACCTGTACACTTCTAAACAAGCTGAACAGCTCATAAATGCCTTTGAATACAAATGTTATAGACGGTTTCAAAGAATATCATGGGTAAAGAAAAGAACAAATGCATCCATACTTCGAAAATTGAATACTAAAGAAGGTTGGCTATTAAAGACGATAAAACCCGGAGAATTTAAATATTCTGGTCGCCTGAAATATCATGAAAGTTTAGTGAAAACAATAATGAAGTCGTATATGGATGAGAAGAGAGGAAGAGGAAGGCCAAAGAGGAGTTGGGTGCAGAATGTGGCGGATTTTCTCCAGATGGGTGTATCGGACACGAGACATCTTGCTAGTGATAGAGACGTTTTCCGGAGACTTGTTATGGGAGCAAGGTTCTGCAAAGGACATGCTACTGACTGACTAATTGACCTACCAACTGCCATCAGTGCCCGCGTTTGCCACTTTTGCGGTGCAGGTAGGGGGTCTTTAAGTCTGAGGATAAAGGACCGCATGGCTAGTGCTGTGGCCACGGAATGTTAGGATTTTATGTCTGCGTTAGAAAGAAAAAATGTCCCAGCCTTACAAAGGATATGAACCTGAGTCTCCCGCTAGAGACCCTGTTTAAGCCGTTTAACCGATCTTCTTTATACTAAGAAAGTTAGCAAAAGTTCACTGTCTATTAAATACACCACATATTTTATTGGCGACATAAAGTACAACAAATTTACACTAAGGACATATAAGTTATGACATCCTTTAACGAAGACATGTAAAATACAACGTATTTTACTGAAGATTTGTTAAGTACAATATATTTTACCGAAGACGAGTGAAGTACAGCATTGCTGAATAATTGTACTTTACCGAAGACAAGGAAAGTGCAACATATATTACTGAAAACGTGTCGAATAAAACATACTTTACCTATCGAAGACATGTAAAGAAAAACATAATTTACCGAAGACATGTAAAGAACAACATATTTTATTAAAAGCATGTTAACTACCAATAAATAAAAAATTTTGCTAACTTTTTTTGAGGTCTGCATCAATGAGTGCAGATAATTACACTTTGTTTGTCATACTATATAAAATACAAAATAAGTTACTTAGGACATATACACTGCTATGCACTTTACCTAAAACATAAAAAGTACAACATTCTTTACTGCAACAATTTCATATAAAATTTACTTTTCACCAACAATTAAAGCAACCTAGATCGTGCTGAAAAATCACAGAATTATCATTGACTTGTCTTTGATGACAATAGGGTAAGCAGGGAAATCACATCATATGTGTAACCCCTTAGTACTTGATACTCCAATGAGGATATCAGCCCTAGAATGAGACGATTTTTGACGGTAAATGGTAAGTTAGTTGCCTTGTTTCTGCAGTGGAGCCAACGCTCTATCGAGCATTTCAATAATTTTTTTTTTATTTTTTTTATTTGAAACGGTGAACATGATAAATAATGACAAGGGAAAAAAGGAAAAATTATAAGTACCAAAATATTAAACAAAAGCAGTACTAAATCTAAAACAAACAGCTTTTGTCAATATATAATCTGGAGATTTAACAAAAAGGTGTTTCTCACTGTAAAATGTAAACACAAATTTTGTCAGTTACTCTCGTAGTTACTTGCGTGTCTTTTACATGACGTCGCAGAACAAATTCCATCAATTTTTATTTCTTTTAAATACTAGGCAGTTTTACGTTCCGTAGTTTGGTATTGTTACCTGATTGTCTTAAAAGATCTGAATATCAAAGAAGATTGGCTAATAAACAGCATCCTTTCTCGAAAGCTGAAATATTTTGGTCATATAAAGCGCCACGACGGATTGGAAACAATTATAGCAGAAGGCATGGTACCAGGAAGGAGGGGCAGGGGCCGACCGACACGAAGATGGGCACAGGATATAAGTTACTCCTTGAGTGTGAAAGTGCATGAGGAGGGAGAACTGGCGAGAGACCGAGTTTCTTTCAGGCAGACTGTGATGAGAGCGACGTTCTGCAAAGGACCTGCTACATGATGATGACCTGATGGTTAACTCGGGATCCGACTGCCGAAATCAGTACAAACTGAATTACAGGAATAATGTGGATTCGTAATGTATTAAAGTTTACGTGTGGTTACCTTCGCTCAACTGAACCAAAGCGTGTGTATACGTGTGTGTATTCAGGGGGAGGAGGGTGGTTGTGGTGGTGGTGGAGGGGGGGGGGTGGTGGTGTTAGGATGCTTTTTCAAAAGAGGCATGAACTGATATAGGATAAATAAAGTACTGATGAAGTCGGGTTTGTTTGGTCCAAAGGCGCAGCTATCACAGCCTAGCTATAAATCACAATAAAACATACCAAGCGCTCTTTCATGAAAAAGAGAGACGATAAAGCATTGACATATCAAGCTCCCGTTTGAATAACAAAGCGCCGTTGACATGAGCTAATACCACAGCCATCTTCAATACGAACCACTGGAGCAATCCAACTCTGTGGTCTAGACGTCAATCTGAAGCTAATTACTTGCCCCCGTCTCCTGAATTAATCGCCATCCGAAGACAGTATTGTCTAGGCTAGGCCATATCAAACTACCCCCGACGTCTCGGCATAATCCACTTGGAGCAACAAATCATCTCTGCCAAATCTAGATCCCAGCACCTTATCATTACAAGCCTTAACTGCTGCGAGCTTCCGGCGCTGTAAGCGTCTGCTCTTCCTGGCCTTGCTCTTCGTTCTCGGGCGGGGGAAAATATTAAATTCAAACACTAAATCTCATAATTAAAGCTATTGTGAAATCCTGGAGAGGATTTAATGTAGAATGTGATCAGGGATTAAACAGCCGTTGGAGGCTAGCGGCGACAACAATGGTGACGCTACTGGGGCTGTTGAGGAGGCACACCCGTGTATATTTATCCGGCTTTTAGGGGGATTATTCTGGAGAAAGCTCCGGTTTTGATATCAAGAAAGATAATGTAACTTGAGAAATATCGTAATGTACCGCGGTTAATAAATGCCTTTCTCTGCCTCCATTAGTCCATTAATTCCGGAATTGTGATCATGTCATTTCTATTGTGGCTACGAACAAAGAATCTGCGCTGTGCACCATCATTGAGTATCAGGGGGTGTCGAGTGTCCCTGTGAATCAGATATTTCATTTATGAAACGAAAACAAGAGGGTGACTGAGACGATTGTCGGCCCTGCCATTCCGGAAAGCTAGAACTGTGATTAATTTAATAACACTTAACTAGATTATAAAACTAGGATAGTAATGGAGAGATAGCATAAACGTCGTCATCATTCCATGTTCCGGTCAATAAGAAGGATATGCAGGTCTACTGTGTGTAATCGTGGCAAGTTTCTGCTTCTGACAATAGCTGGCGATTGCATTTTCCTCCATATGTAGACTTAAAGGATATAGTTTCGTCGCCTAGCTACTGAGATAAGTGCATCGTACGACATTGTGAGCTTCCGATTTCATTTTGAAAGACTTTCAACTATGCCTAACGTGGTTTGTGTTGTGAACTGTAGATTCAGAAAATGGCGAGTAGCCTGTTGTCACAGAACTGGTGGTGCCCTATGCGATTAATTCCCTGTGCAAATACTGAACTGTTACACACGCTTCTTCCACTGACGTTGAACTGCGTTTCTAGTGTCGGACTATTTGTGTCGTCGCTTCTGACGACTGCCTTACGCATTTGGTACTTGTGTATGCCGTTGAATTTGCTGAGACTAGAGACTGTAAATTGTTCCATGGACATTTTGTGTGGATCTTCTTTGGCACAGGAAAGGAGCAATTAGGGGGTGACCCGTTTGCTATGAAACTGCAATTACTTTATTACCTGATGTTCATCCTCATCATCCTCATCATCATCATCTCGTCACCGTCCTCATCCTATTCAGATAGCAGGTCTCTTGCAGAACGTTACTCTTATCATGGCACAGCATTCAATCCTTTGCCAACTGTCTCACCTCGTGAATTTCACCTCCAGTGTGTTCTTTATCATAGGCGCCAGAATATGGGCAGTAGATCCTCTTTAGACCAGCCCTCCCCACCCCCTCCAATTGTTTAGAAAGGGCTAAGTAGCCCCCCTCCAACTATATATAGATATTTCTTTTTTTATGAGTATTTGTTTGCAGACTTCCTATTGTTTGAAGTATATATTAACTTGACATCCAAAGCATTTTTTTTTATCATTACCTCTACCATATTATTATTATTATTATTATTATTACTATTAATATTGTTATGCTCTCAAACTAAGGTTACGCTCCTTGAGCAACTCCGCCCCAGAAAAGAGAGAAATTTGTAAGGGCTAAGCTCCTTCCACGCCCACCCCTCATGTTTTCTTTCTGTCAGCGCAAATCAACTAATTCTCCCCCCACCACCCCACACCCAAAAAAAAAACGCGGCTGCCAGCCCCCCCCCCCCTCACCCCTCCCACCCCCACCCCTTCCGTCCTCGTACTGACGCCTTCATTCTCGTTTTCTAGGAACCATATCGTCTACAAACAATTACTGCATTATAAGTAGCTACTTGACCCAAGTATTCTACTTTCTGAAAAATTGTACTGTCTATGAGACAGTCTCTCTGTATGTTTACATGCTGAACATTGTCAGCGGATTGATCGTTTGCAACCTAAGAAGGTAAAATTAGGATGAAATCCAACGCAAACAATAATAACTGTCCTAGCCAGTAATGCTACCTGGCTATCGGAAACTTTCAGACGCCAATCAAAGCGACTAAGTCGCGCTGCCCTGTGCGTGATACACTAGCTGGAGACGACTGACTGACTGACTTTCTACCCCACTAGGACATCACACAAGCGATAAACACCCGACACAAAGTGCCACCATGTGGATGAGGATCACCGTGGAGAGGTCCCAGAAACCGCGTTCAGACAATTGGCC